TTTTATTGATTCACATAGTTTGGTGTCATCCTTTCATGAGGAAGTGGATTTCAATTGATCATGGTAGGTGGTCCTTGTAATATTTTGTGAATTATTTGTGTATGTGGTGATGATGGATGGACCATGCTGGTTGCTTTCAAAAGCACTGGTGTAACACGTTTTCTTTGGAATCCCATACGGTCTTTTACTACCTTGTGTATGACTTACCTGAAATATCATGAATTGGTAGGTACCGAATAGGTTTTAGTGGCACTGAATGCCCTCATGGCCACTCACGCAGAATTCGTTGACGCTTTGCTCTTAAGCACACAATGACTCGGTCTTCCCTAAGCTGCGTGAAAGTGAGCATGCATACTAACTAGGCAAACTGTTTGCTGCTGCTGTGAAGAACAGCTTCCTGAACTGGGAGCTATAGCAACACACATATGGAACCCTAAGCAAGGCACAGTATATCTGTATTCTTTGAAAGAGTAGAGTAGTTACTTCAATTTGGCTTTCAGTGCGTTGCATGACAAGGCATTTAATTAGCTAAAACCCTCTTACAGTCATGTTTGATTGCAAGTTGTGTGTACTCTCCACCGCGAAGTGTCATCTCATGTTAGATGGAATTAATGGAGGCTGAGGCACCAGTGCATTCACGTCGAGGACAACCCTCTTGAACTCGTCAAGAACTATGGGCCTTTTCAGGTAAGATTACGTGCAGGTCTTTCTCAAGGGCACAATCTTAAACACAGCCCAACCTAAGGCAGCTTTCGGCATTCGGCAGTGATAGGATAGGCAACATTGTGACCTCACAAAGTGCCTGGTGTCCTAGCAACAGCGGTGTAACTCTCACAGCCTGCAGCCTGATTTGGCTTCATGGTAGGAAATTCATGAGGGCCTGGCGGCGGCGGCCAGACCTGGCAAGCGCGGGCGGCCCCTAGCGGCCTCACCTCCTGAGCCGCATGAAGAGGCGGCGGCGCAGGCCCCGGGAGGCCCTGGCCCCGGCCGCCCGGGGAGGAGCCTCTAGCGCTGCAGGAGGGGCCGCGCTGGAGGCGCCTGAGGAGAAGGTGGTGTACACGCTGGGGCACCAGCCCCCCGAGGCCCGCGTCCAGACGCGCCTGCCAGCTGCCAGGAGGAGGCGCCACGGAGCCCGGAAGGTCGCCGCCGGCCAGAGGAAGGTGCCGCCCCCGCCGGCGCCGTCCCTCGAGGACAGCAGCCCCCTGGAGGAGAGTGGGAGGGCGGCCACTCCGACGCTGTCCACCTTGCCCACCATCCGCGTAGTCGGCGACGTCTGGGCCGAGAGCAGCGTGGCAGAAGCGCGGCGCCAAGCGTGCCAAGTCCTGGGAGTGAACCTGGCACCCGTGGTGATACTCTGCCGCTTCCCAGTGCCTGGGCGAGAGATGCGGGCCACCACCGCGCGACCTCTCAGCCCCAGGACGGCTTGTGCCTGGAGGGATGAACCAGTGAGAGCCGGGCCCGCGTCCCCTAGTGCACTGTACGGGCGAAGAAGCACCAGAGGATCCCGGCCCGCGCCCCCTGGATGCGGCGCCGCCTTCTGGGACTCCGGGGCAGCTGTGCCCTCTGCTGCCTCCCAGCACCGGGTCTGCGGAGGGAGGAGACCCCTGGACCGCAAGGGAGGTCCCCTTTCTTCCTAACCCCACATTGAGAGGTCTCCAGGACTGTAGGGGCAGATCCATGATC